ACGGAGAAACATGTGTGACTGTGTATTCGGATTGAACTTACCGACAATAACCAAGGATTATTCATCAAAATTATCTGTACAATTGAAGTCTAATTTTTACTCAATTAGCACTGTTTTAATGCTTGCTTTTTTTGTAATGTTGTTGTGCTTCCGTACTATTAGTAAGACAGACTAAAGTGAAAATTAAAGGTACATTACTGGGATATAATATGATTTCTAGGAAGCTTTTGTTGACTCGATTATTTGAATACATATTAACGTTGTCAGTTCTGTAGCTGCGAACCTCAGTTACTATGTTTGAACTACAGTTATTGCTAGGTTTGTATAGCATAATGTGTCTAACTGTGTGTCCCAGTGGATATCGGTCTCTCCTTATGGTACTCTGAGACATCTGGAAGTCAGAAGTGCATTTTCTTTCCTTCCTGTAAATGAGAAGTCACCTGATGTGCTATGCTAAAATGACAGATAATTCTAGCAGCTTTTTAATTTTAATACTTTCCCGAAGATATTGACGTCATTACGTTCTTCAGAGAAAACACAATCTTTTTATCAAGAGAGTCCACAGAATATCTGCCTTTGCTGGTAATCCAACGATAACCCTCCGATCCCCACAATGGTAAGAATCTTAGGAGGCTGACGTAATACTCCAATGGATACTTCTGACTTACTACTACTAGACTGGATTTATTTTTCATGTGTCATCCTTTGACATGATATCGATAACAACCACTATTAAAAAGTTTATCAAGACAAAAACAGTGGATTACATGTCAAGTACAATACAATTCCAAGAAATTTATGGTTAATTGTAAGAAAGGATCCTAGCCATCTACAGTCTTTAGCTCACAACTTTCACTGCAGCCACTGTTTTTTTTATTTACAGCTTGATTCCACACAGTATTTTTGGTACAAGTATGGAATTTTCAGCATGGATATCGGTAGCCCAAATTTTGCAGGCCGACCATAGATATCAGGTGTGCGCCGGCGTGGGCTCGAACCCTGGACCATGTGCATGGTCGGTGAGAGTCCTAACCACTGTGCCACCGACGCACACAAGACTCATTGTATTGTGCCTCCCCACGGAAATCTTTAGTAAAAGGCGAAAGATTTATCCGCAAATGAGGAGACACCAGAGTTACATTTGTCAAGTAGAATATGAAAACAAAAATGAGGATCCCATTTATTATTGACCAAACGTATAACGCGGAATCGATGACATTGTGGACATCATGCTCTCCAGCAATGAACGCTGTAAATACACCAAAATTAACTACTAACAGAAATACTATTAAGGATTCAAAGGTGATTACCAATATTAATACGGACGTTAGGAAATATTAAAAATCAATCCATTCCGAAGGAAAAACATTCCATCTGTCTGTTGATATTATGCCACTGACGCTAAACAAATGAATAATATGTGTTTATGATACCAAATATTTGTGTTGATTTCCATTGAAGAGATGCACACAGATGAGCTCTGAGACAACATCAAAGGCAAGCAGCGAAGAAAATCTACAAAAGTAGATTTTTTAGCAAAATGCACTAGCTTACCTCATCCCGACGACGTTTGACCCGCTAAGCTGGCAAAAAGCCTCATTCGAAGTCATTATGGTTTGTCTCTACGTCACATATTTTGGGGGATATCACAAAAGGGTTTGTACAACTTGTATTTACGTACAGTGATTCAAACAATTTTTTGCCATTTCTGTTTGCTTCAGTAAACCCAAATTACTTTTAGCAAACACACCAGCATACTAGTGTGAAACGAAAATTAATTATCGAATTTCCAGGTTACTATATCACATGTAGTGTGTAGGTATCAGATAATCAAATGACCTACGTTCATCTACAGGCCAGCGAACTATATCTCACTTATGATTTGTATAGCTATCTTCATCTATTGGACGATATTTAGTGATGACCAATCTCCCGTGCATGTGACCGGTTTACCTACTTCTCTTGCCTACCACCGTGCATTCGGAAATAAGTATTCATACTCTAAAATTCTCTTCAGGCAATAATTTAGGCAATTATCTTGAGATAAGTTTCTGGCTTCACTTGTCTAAGCTAGCATACTTGAGAAATTATTGTCACTTGCACCCATCAAATCGATAGACTTCTAAGAAGCTATGCACATAGGGTGGAGTGTAGTAGGAAAACTAACACATGAAACGTCTGCTAATAAACAGATTGAAATAAATTCAATGTTTTGCATGGTCATAATGAGTTTTTCAGAACGAAAATGTTGAATATCTGTTACAGCTTTCGAAAATATGTACAACACTTTTGCCGCGGGGTTTTCAACGCGTTGCGAATCTATGTTTCAAGTGGAGGCGACAGGTGACCATATGTTTGTAGTACACCGACCTTTTTAAATACTGACGGCTGACTCAAGGGTGGATTTTCGGAGTAGGAGCCTTTTAGAATGATGTAGTGTGAATATTCTTGTAATCAAACATCGATATTGTGTAACTGGCGTTCTCAGTCTTCACTGTTTCTCATTGCTTAATCTATACTCAACCTTTAACTTACGAAAACTGGTAAACCATGACAATAGAAAACTGTGGAAGCTGAAGCTGTAAAACAGTGGTGGCTATAACTGAATAGCAAAAATCGTCAAATCCATTCTGAAGTTTCTTTGTGGCTTCTATTCGGTAACTTCATCCACTTGGGTCCATTATTCGCACTGGCTTTATTTTTAGCGATACATGTGGAACTGTACTGCGGCTTAGTTACATATACTATTGGGTTACTTTAATATATATTATATATGTACTTTAATATAAGCTTCATAGTAACTTGTTTTGGATTAGTTGTTTGGTGTATTTTGGACACTACATTACTTCCTCCACAGAGTCGCATAACTGTTACAAAGCATCTCTTATGTGAGTACATTTATCACTAAAGCAAAATAAAGTACCATAGCAGTAGGCCAACTGTATAGTCTGAAAGTTGAAATAAAGACATTATTCTGGTGAGTTAGCTCAGGTTTTCGTATTTTTCTTCTTGCAAATCACCATTCAATTACAAGTAGATTCACCGCCTACTCCCGACTAACTTCAAAAGGGTTTATCTCTTCCTTTACATCAGATTATTGGGATCGTTGAATAAGACTTTAATTAACGGACGGTTCAGTATTATTCTTGGTGCAGTGTTTCTTATATAGATATGATTTGTAGTTCAGGTGAATAATACTGGTGTAGTTGTGTTCTCTGAGCTGGATGGCTTAGTTGCGAAGCTTTCGTCGTTTTTCTAGACATCTTCAAAGCAATTCAAAATGGAATTATTCTTATTTAAGTCAACACTGTAAGTGTGGAAATTAAATTCTCAACTTAGAGTACACGACTCTATCCATTCATTTTAATGTAATCACTTACATGTCAGTAATCTATATTCGATAAATTTTCACTTCATAAGTATACAAACCCCGAGAAAGCAAGCCTAAAAGACTGACTGATATTATTGTTTAACAGATTTTTGCCTATATGTATCTCATAAGTTTTTAGTTTTGAGTAACCGAATTGGTGCTTGGTAAGAAGTCACCCGAAATACATTTTTCACGTACTAGGACATTATTACTAAAGGACTAATGATATTATCCAGTTATCTAGGTTGAATGCAGAGAGGTTTGGACTTGCAATTCATCGGCTAAAAGCTGAGTGCTTAAGCCACTGATCCACAGCTCCATATGTATGTGCATGTTTCCAGTTAATCATTCGTTTTGAATTCGACATAAATTGTGACCACATGTTTCTTTTTAGTTGGCGCTCAGTCAAATGATTAAAAATTTTCCATTTCGATTTCTATTGATATATCAACAATACCTTTCCCGATTCAATAACTTTTCGTGGTGATTTACTGGCAACTACAATTAAAAAGATGGATACTTTAAATGAATACATAAAGATTATCAGCGATCTTGTAGAGAAACATAAGAATGACTCATCTTGTTTGCATTCCGTCAGTCAGGTGAATGAAATTCTGAAGTCAGGTGAGCTCTCTTTATAGTAAGATTCTTAGCGTACAAATAAATCCGCTTACGTTTGCATTCAAAATCATCACAATATTAAAAAATTGATCTATGCTATTTATAAATCATCTGGTTTACAATTCTAATGACCTCTTGTAGGACTGCAATGAACACATACTGATTGGTTACTGTTGAGTAACTACTGCAGTATTGTGTGGTCTTTAGTGCTATTAGCATCCTTAGAGTTTTTGTTCCTATGAAGTACCCTGACTTCACATGTTTATCTCGATAATCTAGTTGGAATACATTCGCATGCACTCAATCGGTACTTTTGTACAATTTCAAGAATATCGATGAAAAAGTAGGTATTTACAGGATATCATTTTGGATCCCAAAATGACTGTACTTCTGATTATTGTGAGTTATAACAAAAATTTGATGTTTCTCAAAGAAAAGAAACATTTTCAAGATTGTGTGACAACTTTTTGAAAGACCTTATGATGCTTGCACGACCCTTGGGATAATGTTTCTTAATGCGTTACTATTAAAAGTTGCAGCAATCATACGTGTGTTGATACACATAAGAAGTTTAGGACTCACTATTCATATTCACTTCTCTAATGCTGATTGCATTAGTTATTGATACTATTAACCGTTCTAGGCACTTCTATTTTCCTATATGAACCATAGTCTAGGTACATACTACAAAGCATGCTTTAAGGTTGCGGGTTTTCAACTGCTTGTTATTCTTTTTCATTTATCTAATCAATTTATTCAGTAGTTATTGTGATAAAATCCCTTTCCAACGCGTTTTGTATTTTCTAGACTGTATGCCTATTGAAGCAGTATTAGCGCATCTTCGGATGGTTGTTAGCTCTCTTGAATCCAAACTACATAATCTATTTTTGTGAATGACGAATTAAAAAGCGAGTGTGAAAAATCGTCAAAAGAAATTAAACTACGTGCTGAACAACGTAAAGCAGACATAGCGAAGAGAGAAGCTGCCTTAAAGGAACATAATTCTAGGATGAAATTTGCGAAGTAATTGTTTTTGAATTGTATTTGATTGATTGATTTAATAGGCATTATTGTTTATCCCTTGTGATATGGCCCAGTGTAGATATTTCTGGAATGTTGAAGCTTTCTACACAGAAACATGACAATTTGAGCTATATATATATATATCCTTCTACTCACTTATATTTGTATTGCTCGTTTTGTGTGACTCCAAGGCTCTAAAATTTCTCTGCCAGTTTTAGCGTTTCCTCTGTTAAAATTTCCATATTTTCTAGTCAAACTGGTATCCGCAGTTGTCCACATACACTCCGAGAAAAATATATGACGTGCGTCTTTACAGTTAGTTTATATTCTTCGAAGTGAAAGCTTATATCGTGTGTATGAAGTACTGTGTTATTCTAATTACAATGATAACAGTGGATAACTAGTCCTGTTATCCTATGTCTATACAAGCAATATGATTGATAGGAATAAGTCCAATATATCCGTCATTACACAATGTATGGTTTTTAGAATCTTATCTAATCTCTTCAGCTGACTGAAAGTGGATTGCTATAGTGACTTATTTGTTTTCGAATAATATTTTGTTAATATATACACATACACAGAGAAAGCTAATCAATAAATATTATGTTAAGCAAAAATACATTTTTAATAACGGCCTATTTATTTTATAGGAAATATGATTTGATTTATCTTTTTGTCACCGTTCACCTGATATATATTTTTCTTATAAATAAGTATTGTTTAAGTACTCGAATAGTTATCGCACACTCCGTTTTGAGTTTCAGTCCCAACGAAAATAACAAACAAGATTGAAAGTGGACGAATTTCAAGTATTGATAAATTACCAAATTAGTTTTTATTCACCTACAACAATATTATATATCGAAACTAATTGCTTTCAATCGGTCTACATACAATTCAGAATATCCCACATAATTTGATTGTCATCTAACATTGATAAAAGATATGAGACGACAAAAATAAAAGTAACTGTTCATCCAGAGATCAGCTCTAATTATCTAAGCCTGTAAATAAATCGCTTTAAGAAAGAACTGTTTTCGTAAGTTTGTTACATAAAAATCAGCTGAACTAGTGTGCCTTTTTAAATTCTATTACAAGTTCTAAAGAACTATGAGTCTCCAATAGTCGGTACCATATGCGTAGTGTTTTATCTGTGTATTCCCCAAATGAACATATCAGCTAAATGATAACGAAATAATTCCACTTTTCTGTACTTGGATCAGGTTATCAACATTTTTATATGTAATTCTGGAAAATGTCTTATTATAGTCTCCCTGGGCTAGCATAACATGTTAATACTTACTCTATTTTATTCACTTTTCACGGAGTAAAAGTCCTTTTCAACATGTGGCATTACCAAATATAACAAGAGGTTGACCTCATTATTTTTCAAAAGTTGTAAAACATGGGAGAAAATCGGAATTATAAAGTAATAAAAAAATAGATAATCAATAATCTGCCTGATTATCTCCCGTCAAAATAATTTAAAATTAACTCAGTCCCAATTAAAATAATTTATCTAGTTGACCTTTCTGTCCTAGAAAAATTTGTAACTTTGTCTGTTTATGTGTGAAGTATTGAACAAGTACATCAATGTTCAAACTATACACAATTCATCCATCAAAACTGAACACAAAACTGTCATTTTATCACAATGTATGAATCAAAATTCAACAGAAATGTTTTTCTCCATCCTTTTCAAAAAACTTTGTCACAGATGTACTTTTGACAACTGTTTCGTTTTCGAATTATCTAGAGTGAATATTTTACTAGTAGCTACTGATTATATATATTTAAAGTCAGTGTCTAGGTATTTTGTGTTTTTCCATTGGATTCATTTTTAAGATTTAGGTTAGTGGTGGTTTGATTATTCTGATTGTAGACTTCATTTCTGTCAGATTGGTGACAGCTTTAGTAACCTCAGTTAGGAAAGGAGGACCTGTGTCTATATCCCATTCAGGGAGGTGTTGGATGTTCGGCAGGTTGAGCAAGGCTGTGAGCCAATTAAACTGTTCCTCATAGTGCTCTTTCCAGCGTTCCAGTCGTCTATCCTAGGAGCTAATTATGGTGCCATTTTTCTCCGTGATTGTTTCACTTATGATTTGCCTTCTCCCACCCGTTTCCCTGATGAGTCTGAAGAGTTGCCTATCGCCGATGCTTTTTCCATCCCCAATGAAACTGTTTTGTTCTTCGTTATTACTCCTTTGTCTCACACCTCTGCTCACTGTTTCTATTATGCTTTTCTTGTACTTTCTCTTGCTTCGCGTGCTACACGGAGTGTGGCGACTTGAACTTCCGCACATTTGTGCAAAGTTCTATGTCGAAAACAGACAGACTTTCGCCTTTGTCACCCACCACTGTTCACGGTCCTTGCGGAGACTTTTCGTAAGTTTCCTTTTGTGCAGCTTTCGCTCCTCATTGAATTCGGAGCTCGCCGGAATAAGTCTTCTAGCATCTATCAGTTCGGATGAAGCGGTAGAGATCCAATGGTTTTTACTCACCTTTGGATTTACCTTATTCACAGCTTCTACAGCTGTATCTATGGCTGACTGAATATTCTTCCAAGCTTCTTCAGGGTGAGCACAGCTGTCGAACACAGATATGTATTTAGCTAGATTTCCTCAAATAGGGGTTTAGTTTCCTGATCGAGCTGGGGACGTGATGGGTTTACCGCCAGCTGATTCCTACGTCCGTTCAGTCGTAAGCACACACGAGTGTGGACCAGTGCGTGATCGGTATGTACACACGTGTTCCAGAAGGAGCGACAATCTCCTACCGACCCACGCCAACGATAGCTTATTGCTATGTGGTCTATTTGTGTCCAGCGTTGGTTTGATGATGGGGGTCGCCAGGTCAAACAGTGTCTCTCCTTGTGTTTGAAGTTAGTGCTTACAAGAAACAAATGATTATCAGAACAGAACTGTAGGAGACGGTCACCGTTGTCGGTTCGCTGGCACGGAACTCCATAGGTGCCACCGACATCCTTCTCAGATTGACACAATTTCCCTACTTGAGCGTTAAAGTCACCAGCTAGAACGACTATATCTGAGCGTTTAGCCTTTAGCACCAAACTAGACAGCTTTTGGTAGAACTCATCCTTCGTTTCATCCGAACTGCAGTCAGTGGGGGCGTAGGCGGAGATTACGAAAAGGCATCGGCGAGTAGTGCAGTTTTTTCTCCTTCTTACTGATCCGTTCAGACGGACAGCACACATTCGGCTATCTACCGGGATCCAGTCAAGCAATGTCTTTTCTGCCCTAGTACTCAGAGCTATCCCTACGCCAGCTAATCCTCGTGAACTAGCTGTGGCATCTCCTGACACCCTCAAGGTGAATTTTGAAGATTCATCCTGTTGGCCAGGTGGGGTTAGGTGAATAACCACACTTGGGTCTTGTATGCGTGTTTCTGAAACACAACATACATCAATGGCTCGTGATGCCAGGGTCTTGGCTAGTGATGCTTGTTGTCCTATTTGGCAAAGTGTCCTAACATTAAATGCTCCTATATGAAATTGGTGGCGTGGCTTTAGGAGACAATTGGTAGTGGCTGTTTGGCTTCCGTCGTTTTTAGTGGACACAGAGTGAAGAGGAAGTGAAATGCCATCAAGTAGAGGATTTGCATCAGTGGAAGGAAGGCAAGATAATAGAGATGAAGATGAAGACAAAGATGAGTGAGTATTAGAGAGGTTTCGTGTGCATGTCGGATTTTGAGGGCGATTGTTACTTCCCGGCTGCCCACACCGTGGAAGTTGGTTACGTGACCGCAGAGCCGAGGGGACAACTGCTTGAGGCCGGTCACACGCGGCCTGGTTTTGTTCATTCTTTATTATTTGGTGTGTCTCAGTAGCATATTTAACACTCCTGCCCAGTGACACGGCAGCAGGAAGCGCGGTCGTTGTTAATCCGGGCCACGGCCGATCCGGCATGAAATTTTGTGAGTTTTTATGTATCATAATGTTGGATTGGGTAGCTGCTTTTTGTTTAACCGCTATCCAAACAACCTTTCTGGCATGGTAGGACCTCAAGAGACATAAGTCTCAGCCAGTATAGCTTGATTACGTCATTGCGGTGTTCAAGCCCGACCACCACGTCAAGGTGGCAGCTTTCGGTCATTTCTACCAACCAACACAGGAATTAATACACTGCTCATCAATGATTGACTTTACTATAAACTTCCTCGAGTTCTTTAGAAAAGTTATGACCGGTCCAACTAGTCAAGTATGAGAACAAGTAATCGCTGACAGCACTGGTTGGCAGTGACGCTGTGAAAAGTTGACAACAGTTAAAATTCCTACACTGGTGAAATTCTACTCTGTAGCTAAATGGTTAAATAATTCCCTTATAGACTGTAAGTCGTGGATACAAAGCGTGTGGGTTCATGGGCGTGTACTGTTGATACATTTCAAACTTGGACGACAAAACCTTTCAATGTTTCATGGTTTTCAGTTGCATTGTAATTGAATCTTAATCTGTGTAGACGAAAGTATATTGTAGCATCAGTTGCGATGTCATGCGTTTTTTTAACCTCAAGATCTTGGAGATTTCACTTTGAATCTGAAAGTGCTGTAGAATTTGGGGAACAAATTCACTCTACTGAAGAGCTGCTTATCCACCAACCATAAATTTTTAAGTGGTCTGTTCTTATTAAAAAAAAAGCATTGTATAAAACTTTTTATGTTGTTCAATACAAAGGTTTACCACTGTTCACTAATATTTTGTTTGGTTTTTTTTAGAGCGAAACTATCCATCTACGAAAAATCCGTGAAGGCGAAATTTATCAATAATTACAATTCACTTACTGCCTGTATCCTTTTAATTATTGCTATTACTTTACTTCCTTACGGGAACGTCAATAGGAAATTTCCTACTGTTTTAATCGGGTGTGTTGTAGATATTATTTATGGCCAATCAGACAAATAATCTCAAACCATTAAAGGAAAGCCAAGCGCCTACTGAGCTCTTTCTTGATGACTCTGAACTTGTCAAAATCTAACGTCTCAAATATTATCTGCTACAATCCTACACTAGGCGAGCAACAATGATTGTCTAAACTGCATAAAACCGTCCAATCGTGAAGTTCATCGCTGAAATGCCACTTGTTTATTTGTTTGATATACAATGTGTTAGACTCTCGGCCAAACCTAATGTGTAGGTCGACGTAAAATATGGTGTGCCTAGGACTTGCGAGTTGAAAGACTGATGTTTGACTCAATAAAAAGTACCTCTGAAGTAGCACTACCACGCAGTTATTCAAGTTCTGATACTGAATGAAAGTAATAAAGACAAGGAAATGACAACAGTGAGAGTCATAAAATGAAATAAATAAATGCAATATTACTAACAAGTTGAAAATGAGAATGCATCCGAGTTTTTATGATCGATTCAGAGAAATACTACCTAGGGTGTTGAACAAGGTAGGTGTGACTTTTTATTTTGCCACTTTTCAAATTCTTCTAACTTAGTTCACCCGCCACTAAAATAATACTTCGAGACAGTACGTTCAAGATAACTCTTGAAGACCTCAGGTATTCACGATTTTTGGTGCTTCCCTTTAAATGAGTGCAGTAGTTCGTGAATTAAATTGCAGTGAGTTCATCCAGACAATGCATCATGGACCTTGTAAATACTGAATCCATAGTCTAATATCTGCACATAGCGACCTTCAAACTTTTTTCGCCTGTTTTTATCATGTTACCTTAAACACGACATCATAGCTTATAAAAATATAGAAGCACACCGATTACATAAAATGGACATGTTATTTAATAAAATTCCTTAGTTTTTGTCATTAGTGAAGCTGTTTTCTTGACAATATACTTTAATATAGTTATCTTCAATCCAGATCGCGTTGTGCAAACTAACCTCCCGATTAAATTACTAGAAAATAAAACATCAATTATTGATGACCTTTGTCAGCCGGTTGATGAAGGAAATCTTTCGAACGGTGGAGCTACAGATTTCAAGTTAACTGATGATGTGATTGCAGAAATGAACAAGCTGTGGCAACAAATGGAAGTTTCTGAGAAGTGGAAACCTTTGGTTATACGTACTGCGGCATCCACATCATCTGAATCATCAAATGACATGACAGTACATGATAGGAAAATCCTACGTGCTAGAGAAAATTTGGAGAAATAATACAAAATACATTTGCTGTATGATCTCTTTTAACTTATGATTTAACACAATAATTCAAATTATTTAACAATCGTTATATGTATTTTTTTGTAGTATAATACTTTCCAAAGCAGTGTGCGATTTTTGCAATATGATGTCCGTATGACAACAGAAATTTTCGAAGCAGTTACTCACAGACTAACCTATAAGATTTTCGTTCAATGAATGCTAACAACAGTTAACAGCTTGAAGTTAACAGTCTATAAAAAACTGATACGTTATTGATAAATTCACCCATAGATGACCGAAAATTCTAAGCATGACAGGATCCTATTGAACCCCGTTCTATGGTTACTTAATCGACTAATATGTTGGAGGAAAATTTAGTATGGAGTGGCTAAATGAATACGCAAAGTTAGACGTATTGCAACTAGCGGGTTTAATGTTACGCTTACAGTCAAGTGTCTCATGAGCCTAGTTTTTATTTTACTTAAAATCATCAACAACATATAACAGTGGTCTGCCCATTCAAGGCATTCTCAATAGTTAAATGCACAAACTATTTACTTCTCAAATAAAGTATAATTATATTTCAATGGTTTACACACAATGATACGTTTTGTTATTCATAATATTTCGAACAAGATTACTTCCCGTGTTCATACCATTGTTGGAATTGTTTTGTTTTTAATTCACACATTTATGATTTGTACTCACATATACAGTTCTTTTTTGCTGTTCATTCATTGTTGTGTATTCAGAATTATATTGCTGGTTGTTGACAGTGCTGATAGCTGGATGATGTTTCGATCACAGTTTATTCCTCGCAATCATATCAATATGTTCACCCATCATTATTTATTGCAATTTTCCATATATCCCGCATAAGTGTTGCATCATTTCCATTGCACGTGTTTGTCATTGATTCGATGAATGAAGATTCTCTGTCCAACCAACTATATTACTTTTTAATACTTTCACTTTATCCGACCCTATTGTGTGATCATATGCAGACGGACGCGTTACAATGGCCGAGCTATTTTTTCTAGATTAATTAAATTAGCATGGTCAATCATTCTGACTTTGACTAAATTTCTGTGTTGCGATAACCTAACTAACCCCTATTTAATAGTTTGGCCTATGCAATTGATCTCAGAATCATCACACAGTGTTTGGTAAATGATGTTATTTTTTTCCAATAGGATCTATCGGGCCAATAAAGTGGACGAAGTTTGTCTCTGAATCAGTTAGTTGGTTTAAGATGCCATCCTAATTCCGGCCTTTCTGATGTTTCATTTTATGCGGCGGTACCATCAGTGCTTCGAATTCCCCATTATTTATATTCATTATATATGCATCACTACTCTCATGTCTCCCATAAGTCCTTATACACTTGTGAATAAATTCTGGTGGGTAATATTCATTAGTATTTTATTAATTTATTTAAATCTTACTTATTAGTTAAGCTCCTGACTCGATTTCATATAGAATAGAAAATAAACAGCAAGAGGGCGGTTGGGAAAATACATAAAACAAATTATAAAGTCGTGCCAATACGTTGATGTGAGCAATAAATTATGCTCGGAACGTCGTTTGGTCAGTAGCAGTGTAATGTGGAATTCTGTCCTACCACAATGCCCTGACTACTCTTGTTTTATATGAATGAATATATATACTTCTGGTAATAAAGGCTTTCGTTCACATACACATCACGCATAAGCGAATACTATTTTTTCATTGTAAATCATAAGTATAATATCACAATTTATATGATCAATATGATATAAAATGGAGGTCTAAATTATCAAGTTGCAACTCTACGCATCATCATCGAACAAAGCATGGAATGGCAATCAAACCTCTACCTCAACTTTATAGACTTTGAGAAGGCCTTCGACAGCGTTGATCGTGAAGTAATTTGGAAATTATCAAGTTCCATTCTCTAAATCTTACACTAATTCATATATATAAGCATCCTAGACATTTGAATATAACCTCCACTTGTGTGACAGAAAAGAAAACAAACATGTAGAATTTAAGTAGAATCTTTTGTGAACGAAGATAGCTTATTGTAAAATAAATAAGGATCATACTACTTCACTGATAAACATACATCTACAAGCAAAATAAGTACAATGCTGATTCTAATCTTTTTGCAATATATGTATATATATGAAGGAAAGAATAAGACAGTTATATGTAATATATTTTATATCTACATAACAGACTTACATTAGGGCGCTTGATTAAATTAAATTCACAGCCAAGAGAATACCTTAGTAACACACGAAAGAAAAAGAATCAGAAGACAAGAACCAGTCCGTTATAGGCACAAAAGAAAGGAAGAGAGAAACACACACATCAAACAATCTACACAGTAAGAATTGCCTGAGCAACAAGAAGAAGGTGCAAAGCAAGTGTAGAATGAAGAAGAACAACAACAAACAACAGTAATTAAAAGAGCAACATTTACAGTTGACACTTGGTTAGTCTAACCAAGTCTTTTTAAGCTGTGTGTAAATATAAAGAGTTGTAAGTTGAACTTATTCATCACTTGTAAATAAAAATTTCCAAGAGTAAAACTTGCAGAAGGAAGTGAATTCACACAATTTTCTTGATATATACGTATATATATATATATATATATATTTGGATGAAAGCCTATAAAAAAACAGGAGATGGATTGTCTCTAAATCGGTAATACAAGTAACTTATTATCTCTCTTGTCGTTAATAAAGTGAATTTCAGCTGTTCATCATAAAACAATAAGAACAACGGAACGATAAATGGGAAGATTAACAAAAGAATAAGACAACCCCATAAAGAAAGAGGCAAAACAAAAAATAGTAATAACAACTGCTGCAGTGATTTCAGTGACAATAGTAAATAATATAGTATAGTTAACAAATCTGGTTATAGGTTATTAATTCAACTGTACTTTCTTTTACCAAAATTTTTTTCTAAATTCAAAATCTAAAGAGCGAGGTGAGACAATAATTGACGGTAATAATAATAATTATGGAGCATCTATTCTTTCAGATAATAAGTAGTGACTACATATATATGTATTACTTATAGTGTGTTTGAAAGGAAGTAATAAACGAGTAAAAAGAAAAATAATAAATGATTATTTCTTATCTTATCTTCTCTTGTATGAATAGTTTAGATCACAAATTACTAAGGAAACAGATTAAAATAAAAAGGTTTATCACCGCGATGATAAAAGAACGATGTGTAAACTGTGTATATACCCTTGGAGCGAAAACCGAACAGGAAGAAGTTAAAAAAAACAACATAAAACGGACAAGTTTAAAAGATAGGCTTATTATTAACATCATCATCATTACACTACACTGATTAAAAATATTTAGAAAAATGCAACTACAATAAATCTGTTTTGTTTTATGTTGTGAAAATTCGGAGTGGGTGGGGTGGGGGAGCGGAGGTTGCGGGAGGTGAATAGGAAGAGGAATAAACTTGAAAGTTTTTTTTCGTTTAAATGGACTAGCAAAGCGAGTGTATTAAGATGTGATAATAAAACGGATGCTTTCTTTCTTTCTTTGAAAGCAAACAAGGAGAAAAGAATAGAGATATAATTGCGAATACAATTTCATCATTACAAGAGTGACAGTTGAATACATAAACACAAGTTTACTACATGATAATAGCTAGTTGAAAAGCCCACCAATATAATAATCTAAATCACCATTATACTAGATATATTACTAATTAATAAATATACTAACACCAAGAACAGTAATCATGATGTCGTCGTAGGAGATAATCATTTCAAGTAATTAATTGAATAAACAGATGATTAGTGCTAGGTAAGTGTGTGTGTGTGTTGTTAGTCTGTTAATTCGTTAATTAATCAGTTAATTTGCAGAGATAAGGCCACTAAGATTTTCTTTCTTTTTCTCCATTGAAATTATATATATACCCTAATTGTAGAAACGACAATATTCTAAGCGTCTTTTTATACACGGAATAATTTACACAACGACGTCAACAACAACAGCAACTAGTTAGTAGTAGTAGGAGTGGTAAGTAGTTATTAAGAGGGTGAAATAATAAACAACAGGGGATTGGTAATAACAATAAAACTAAATAAATTAATATAAGAAGTGCAATCCAATCGCGAACAAACTTGATAAACATTATCTTTTTTCACAGATATATACCTCTTGAAGTATATATTTAACAATAAACTCATGATTGCGATACTTGATCATATAACGAATAGCTTCCAGATAATTTTCTTTCCGTTATTGCAGCATGCGGGACAAATAATTAGGTGCTAAAACTGTGAGTGTATGATGAGATAATCAATTTAGTTCAGAATAAGTTACTCTGTATATAGGTGGGAATTCGGCAAAAGAAACTCTAATTAAATAATTTGTTTTATAATAATTATAAAGAATAATAATAATAACCACAGACGAACTGACTGCACAATTAGGACAAAGAAGAACCACACATATACACACGCACATATGTAGCGTGCATACAACAGAGAGAGGGTGTGTGTGTGTGAGGAAACGATAAGCTTTAGAGAATTTAAAAACACCGGGTAACAATATAAGTAGCATAATGTATATATATATATATATATATATATATATATATATATATATATATATATATATATATATATATATATATATATATATATATATATAGGATATAAGATTAACGGGTAAACTGAAATCTTACAGACTAAGTGTATAGGATAGTTTTTCTTCATCTTCTCTTTCTTTATTTGAATAAGCAGAATTTATTTTAAAAAGAGAGCAATTTCATATAATCAGGGGAAATTTCCTTTAGCTATTAAAACAAACTTCGCCGTGATGAATCTGTTGCATTTGTTTAAAGATGTAAAGGGAAAACAGCAACGCTAATTAATATCTCTAATAGACATTACACAATCGTTGACTGACTGCGGGACCAGGGGCGACAGCAGCAGGATAAGTTTGATCAACACATTCGCGTGTACAGAAATCAAATATATCTACTTGGTAATTATTCTACAAAAGTGATATTAAAAAGAAGTTGGCTTCCCCACTGTTTTCTTATCACTACTTTGAATGGTCATCAACTATGATTAATTATACTGACATATGATGATATTTAATTGTAAGTGCTGTTTTTTTGTAAAATATTTTTCTTGAAATATGCAGTGCTGCAAAAGTGAGACAATAGAAATTACTTTTTAAAAAAGTAGTCAGATACCGACTATAGCTATCAATAATGATAAAATGTGAGCGAAAAATTTGCAGAATGCCTGTAAAAATCCACTCAGTCATAATACACAACTCACCAACTGTAAAATAGCAAGCACTAATCTGTATCTGTTAATATAACGCATTCACATTAATTCAGTTTTTGAAACCGACTTCTGATGGAATAAAAGGCAATTTAATTATTAGTTGTGAACTGGGGATGAGATTTGCAAATTCATAACAAATACCGGCTTGAGTTCGGGTGTTAATTCGCTATTAATACTGAGAGAAAAATTATAAGGATAAAGCTGTCGGTCACATTAAATACCACGAATTAGCAGGAGTGAGAATTGACGGATCAATGGATTCTGACCCAGTAACTAAATGATTAACAAGCTTGCCTCGTAGTCGGAAGGTCTTGCGTTCAATCTCTGGTGAGACCATAGGCGTATATATATATATATATATATATATATATATATATATATATATATATATATATATATATATGATATTCAGGAAATCCCGCTGAAATGTGATTGAATTTTATTTTGATTAGGAACATAAGTTTCCCGTTAAGATCATACACTAGAACAACACAAAATCGATTCTGTCTGTCTGTTCTGCTTTCGACATAGAACTTTGCACATATGTGCACCAGTTCAAGTCGCCACACTCCATGTAGCACACAAAGCAACAGAAGAAAGTAGAAATGCATAATAGAGCCGGTAAACAGAGGTGTGAGACAAATGAATAGTAGCAACGATGAACAAAACAGTTTCATTGGGAACCATAAGTCACAAGGAGTGGATGCATCTGTGCCAGCCATTGAGAACGATTTTGAGCCATGTCACCAATTGTTTCCAACCATTGGTTTTTACCGTCCCGAGGACCCCAACCAGTCAGGAAGTCTACACCTTCTTACGTGGCTTAGACTAACTGTTGTAGATTTCATTGACTGGTGCCATGTTTTGGTTTGACCGCCGCTAGCTCTTTTCCAGCCTGACCCTTTATCAGCTAACATTGCCCGTCGAGGAAGGCGACGACCAGGCACACGTAACACATGTCCTAACCATCTGAGTCGATGTAGCTTCACAACCTCGTCGATTGATTTCCCCTCCTTACCTAGAACTCGACGCCTAACCTCAATATTGCTCACCTTATTATACCACTTCACTTCGATGTTCTGTCAGTCCATTTATGATGGTGAGTTAGCATGAAAGATGGATTTAAGCTATACTACAGATCACCCTTAATAACCAACAACTGCTGAGTATATCTGATACAAATAAACCACTTCTGATAAAAAACATCTGAAGATAATATGACGTTAAATGAAGAACAACACCTTGGGTTCTAGTTAAAGCAATTTTTCCTCTGCCCTACTTTGGTTACAGGAATTCATCATGAGCTGACATTAGTTAGAGAACCATTGGAAAACCTGGGAGTACAAGACTGTTGTTTCGTCCTAGTTTGGGACTCTTCATCAGTACGCAACCACCGGGATTCGAACCCAGGACCCTCTGGTTACAAAGAGAGTTCCAAACTAGGACGAAACAGCTGTCCAGTACTCCCAGGTTTTCCAATGGTTCTCTAACTAATGTCAGCTCATGATGAAAACCTGTAACCAATCAAATCCCTACAAAACCAACACTTGAACATAGTACTTTGACTGTATCAAAACCATAAGTCTATGATGTCCAAACAAAGTTGGAGAGTCATTATAAATACAAACGCGACGTACTATTTGCTGATACGAAATCCATTGGTCATCTAACTAAAATTTTTATTACTTCTGACTGACTATTCACTCACAGTTGAGTAGTTTATCGTTGGGTTATTTGAGTCACATGTTTTTGTTAAAATGACAGTTTAATAACTCTGGAAAAGCATTTATAATTCATGAATTGATGAACGGTTAGTTTGTATTCTGAATCTGCACAAGTCATAGATTCTTTTGATTAGTTATCATCTGATAACATAATCTGTAAGTGCGACTGAAACATTTGTACACACCCCTAATGTTAAAATAAATACATTTTACCAACTAAAACCGGTTCAAACCGTTGACTGCTGAGGTAGCCAGTTTTAACCGAATTTGGCTGCATAACTTTTGAAGCCCAACCTCATATAACCAATCACATTAGTCATCTGGTATTACACATATAATATATTTTTATCTTAAAAATCAATTGTTCCCACTAACTGATACCAGTTTTGTCTTCTGGTCTTTTCCGTGGGCTCAGGGTGTAGAAAACGTCGAGGAATAGCCCGAGTATTCTCGGGCTTCAGTCCAGTTACCTATAGAATTTCCTTATCAAATCCAAAGCTATGGAGTACTGTTACCACTCATTTCATTTATACTGGCCAATATCAATCTTTTTTTAATCCTATCAATTACATGTTCCGTCTAAATTGTGATTCCAGCAGTATGATAGGAAGCCGTTATCCGCCGAAAAAGCGGGACATGATATTGGAAAACTCCATGTTTGCAGGAAACCATAGCAGAGTATTATCACAGGATGTGGTGTCAACACACTAACACTCAGATTATGTACTAGTTCTGCTGGAAATGTGAAAAAAAACACCGTTAATTCGCACAAATAATCGTCTGGCAAAACAGCAAAACATGGATTATTGCAGCTAACTCACCTAGTCAAGTAGCTAGTCCATTAGAAGTTTCTGAAGTAGATTTTTTGCACAAGTGACTGTCTGCCTCATTTTTATTCGACTGTGATGTTTCTTTTTTGTTGTTATTATTAGAGCTTTTTTTACTTCCTTGAAGGGCACTAACTTTAGTAGAAGATGGAACTGTAGTAATTGTAGGTTTTGACTGTTCACATTGTGTAACTTGATCACCCAAGCTTAATGTATTAGAGCAAGTACATGATCCGAATGAAGGGCTTGAAGCAGGAGTATGAATGCTAGAAGAACTGTCAGCACAACTACAACAAACAATGTCTTTTGGACTACATGTTGATTGTTTCACAGCAACTTCAGTGTGACCAGTACATGATGATGACAAACCATCGTTACCTGAAAAAAGTTTTGCACACGAATAATAAGAAATCTTTTTGGAGTGAAAATAGCATACACGTAAGAAAAAAATACTGAATGTATATTCAGCAGACATAATTGCCGCACTGCTGAAACAGTAACCACAGATGTCATGCACTTGAATATTGCCGACTGAATACACACAAAGGAACAGTTAAATTTCAGAGATTCGGATGCGAAAGAAAATGTCTTATGAAAACTAATCGGTTCGTTGGCTTTGTAAGAGTCAGCAAAGTAGTACACTCAAAATGTTTGAGGTGCTATTCAGTGACTTAAAGATAAGTTTTGTCCTAATTTCAATCAACACCCAATAAAACCAACATCTCGGATAGTCTCATCAGCACGTTCTAGATTTCGTGACCAAAACGTCCACACTAGAAATACAAATTTAGACAGTCAGATGGTGTAATTAAAACGAACTATCATGGATTAAGTGTATTATTTTGGATTGTTAAAAAATATTCCATTAACTGGAGAAGTTAGAAAAATTACCACCTTAGATGAATACATCTTTGATGATTAGGTGTCAGTCATGCATTGTTTCATTCTTGATCGTGCGCTTTTAATTTAATGGGTTAATTATAAATTATTCACAGTGACTGGCTAACTGGTTTCAACATGGAACTTTGCACAGAAGTGCAGCAGTTCAAGTTGCCAAACTGTATGAAGCCCACAGAGGAGGACAAAAGAGATTCGAAAAGACTATAATAAGCAGAAATAAGAGGGAGGAACAACAGTAAAATAGAAAAACAACAGGTTTATTCGGATATGTCAGATCAAAGAGATTAAATGCATATGCACCGCTGAGAACGATTTTGTGCCACATCACCAGCCGTCTCTAGTCATTGGTTTTTACCATCTTGAGGACCCCAACCACGAAGGTCTTCACCTCCCTATATGGCTGGCTTAAAATAACTGTTGTGGATTTCATTGACTGATGAAGCTATGTTTTGTTTTGACCACCACTAGCTCTTTTCCAACCTGATTCCATGTCAGCTAACATTGACCATCGAGGAAGGCGATGGCTATACATGAGTAACAGGTGCCCTAACCACCTCATAGATAGATTTACCCTGCTTAACCAACCACAATATTACTCACCCTATTATGCCACCTAAAACGGGAGATAGCACGGGGACACCGATGATCAATGACAGCTAGCCTTTCCATGTTTTCTGTTTTCAATAGCCATGTCTCACGGCCAAAAACGATGACGGAGCTAACTGCTGACAATACGCACATCCTTTGATCAGTAGCCAGATTATCAAGTCTACGCCAGAGATGATGCAGGCTGGCTAAATTCCACACGAACCTTTCTTATCAGCGCTGAGATGTCGTCAGCAATCAGCCCGTTGTGGCTGATGCAACTTACCGAATAAGTGGAGTAGTCAATACTCTCCACCACTTCACTCTCTATCTTTAAGCTAGGAGTCGATGTTGTCCATTCGTCTAGCATCATCTTGCATCTGACAGGAGCGAATTGCATGCCAGACATTCGAAAATTGCTCAAGGTTTTCAGAAGACTGCATTTTATCAGCGTCTTCACCTAAAACAAATATATTATTCGCATATTCCAAGTCAACAAGACTATTCCCTGGAAAAAAATTCAATTCCTAACTCTCGGTTAATCCCATCTGTACACCTATGAAACTAAATAAACAAAAAGGGGACGGTGAGCACCCCCGACAGACATCATTGGTTGTCATCACTTCAGATGATAGCTCTCCGTAAGTTCCTACACGGCTGCGTGAGTTTGAGTAGAGTACCTGGATTAGTGCGATACACTTCTCGGTAATCCATTGCCGAACATTGCCATAGTACCTCTAAATCGATGGAGTTGAATACTGCCTTCAGGTCAAGGAAAATAGCAATTTTCGGACGCCGGTAAATATGACTATGTACGAGAATCTGTCAAAGGGTGAAGATATAATCAATACACTTTCTGCCTGGTCTAAAGTCTGTCTGAAATTATTCGCAAATCTATTGATGAATATGGCTAAGTTTTATATTTTATAGTATAAGGAAAAATGATGGAAATTACATTCCTAACATTCAACAGATGAGCATTTTATTATGTAAAAAATATCACCTCAGGCATGAAATTGGCACACTTATTAAAGCGCAAACATCTGAACACTAACAATAATTCTATACATGAACCAGCTTACACAGTTAAGTTATGCTTGTCAAATGAAAGATTTTATGATCTCATTTACACATTGGCAGTGATTCACAAATGTAATAATGACGACATGGTATCAAAGGTACTGGCAACGACAACGTAGTTTCCTACTTCAGTCAACCAGGTTTGATTGATGTAAAAAACAGACTTTGGTACTGAGATGGACTACACTGGTACTTGCTGATGTCTACTTGGGCACAATAAACTGTTTACAGTCATCAATACAGTATAGCAGTAATGAAGTGTGCCTGAAATATCACCAGCAAGTGATACTGTAATCACGATGCACTATATCATTACAAACTACCGTATTATTAAATGAAATTTGCATAACATTTAAAAATGCACTAAAAATTATAAACACCAGATCACAAAACTACCTCCGTCAACATCAGCTGATAAAGACGTTGCGGTTTCGCAAAACTGCGTATCATGTGATTTTCTACGGAATGTGTTTGATTTCTCCTCCTGTTCACAAGGTCCACATCCCGACGACTGAGAGCATGATGACTGTGTGGAGTGATGATGCTGATATTGTGAAATGGTCTCCGAGAAAGGTTGAGTTTGCTTTGAAATGGGTGTTTCAAAACTCTGACTACTTGGATGAAAGCTACTAGAAGCGTCTGAATATGAAGGTGCTGTTTGCCTAGTAGTGTTGATGAAACCAGTATCACAAACAGTAGATGAGCGCACACCAGGGAAAAAACCAACCGAAGCATCTATACCAATTCAGAAAAAATCCCAAAAATGACAAATGTATACGTACCAAGTATAGCGAAAGCTTATAACTGCATCAGTCACCTGTACATTTTACATAAAGGCTATTTGCTAAACAGCTTGTTAGTGAGAAATAAGAAAATTGTACACATTGCTAAGAAGTCTCAGAGAAAAATATGAATTAACTATAATATTAACATATGTGTTAAAATTGGGCACTGTGGTAGTAATTCCATAAGTTTGTTTATTAGATGCATCACACAGTGAAACAGTATTATTTACTGGATGACGTTTCAAACAAAACTTATTGTTCATAATCATATCAATCATAATCACACGACTTCGAAACTTGAGTTTTACTGTTTTCTTTGTTCTCTCCTATTTGTCGTAGGGGTAGTATCCGGAAAATTCTATTACCCCTACAACAAATAGAAGAGAACAAAGAAAACAGTAAAACTCAAGTTTCGAAGTCGTGTGATTATGATTGATATGATTATGAACAATAAGTTTTGTTTGAAACGTCATCCAGTAAATAATACTGTTTCACTGTGTGATGCATCTAATAAACAAACTAATATGGAATTAAACTATCGTTCCTTAGATTTCTTTACATAACATCAACTCGAAACGTTATTATCATTCATCCTGTGAGTTTCGAATGGAATATAGGGCTCATTTGTGTTGCACTCTATTCTCTGTAGTCACCTTCAACTAGCTCCACGACTGCTTACAAGCTTCAATTTCCTCATTGAATGATCTTCTCCATATCACCCTAAGACGTCCAACCTGTTGCTTTCCATCTGAGTTCTACTCAACAACCAGGAGTGCAATATCACCCGCCGGATTTCACAGCGTGGTACTCTGTAGTTTTGAGGCAGTCGCCGAAATACTTCGCGGTTGACAGTATCAGAGGCCTTTCAAACTCGATAAAGTTGAGGGACACATATGACTGCCACTCAAGGCTTTGTTCAATGTTGATGAGTGATGTTGCAATTTGATCCGTACAACACCATCACTACTGAAATAACAAAGTAAAGCTCGATATACCCAAATTAAATTTAGATGAATAATCACAAAATGATTTTTGAGTTTTTTTTTATTACAGCTTGATTCCACACCGCACTTTTGGTACAACTATGGAATTTTCAGCGTGGACATCGGTAGCCCAAAATTCGCAGGCCGACCATAGATATCGGGTATGCGTCGGCGTGGGCTCGAACCTCGAACCATGTGCATGGTCGGCGAGAGTCCTAACCACTGTACCGCCGACTGACTAAGTGTCATAACTGAACTGTTAACAATAAAATACAAACCAAACTTTCTCATCAGCATGAAACTTTAATGGTGAAGCAATCTTAACTGATGTCTCTAAATTATCATACCACATTCCGATTGCGTAATCCAGAAAACCCAAGTACCACGCAGGGCTCAATTTTGTTATTCTAGTGACTGTCACATTACTACTGGACAATCTATAAGCTAATCAACCACTAGCAAGTATCAAGCAAGAAAACAATATATTTAGTTGAACGTATATGTTATCACTTTGTCTTCATTACTGACTAAATCTATTCGCTTCAATTTCCCATCAAAGTTCACACTTAACTGCTCCCTGTTTATTTCTTCATTTAGGTATGTGAAGCCTACTGAGCAAATGCTGATATGATGCTTGCCTCTACGATAAAACACACGAATGCATCTGGACAGCTACGTGACCTGTCATCACTTATAATGACTAAATTGTTCCTTCCTTTACCATGGTCCTGAGTTGGATGGATGTCCTATACATCATAAAGATACAAAACCTCTTGTCTTTATTACACCAAACTAGCAGTAACATCATATCCCACTTTAAAAAAGACAAATTAAAGGAAATTGGTTGAGTAACTTAGCGAAAAGATATGAGGTATCAATCAATTGGGTCAAATACAAAAGATTGAAAAAGTGGCTGCGAGTTAAGAGGCGGACAGTACTGGTTAAGCTAAACTCAATAAAGGCATTAAACTGGAATGAACTTTCAGTAAAACTTACCATCGGGTAGTATTGTACTAGACCTGATATCTGTCGCTGATGACGGTGGATGTGTGGCAAATAGAGGAGAAATATAACGAGGTGGTTGTGAACCTGTAGGTGATATGAGAGGGAATGGTCCTGCTCCAGCCAAATTCAAAAACCCATGGTGTGATAATGTTGAAAAAGCTTGATTTATTTCGGATACGACATCTTCAGTGTTGCAGCTTAAACGTAATGAACTTAACAGTTCATTCAATGAAGGTGATTGCTGCCCAACAGGTGGAACTTTAACATCCATTTCTGAGGCAACACTTGTTGGATATTGTTGAGATAAACACAAAGGTGACATTCCAGGATAAAGTGTAGCAAGATGAGTACTTCCTGGGTCTATCTGAGGAACACCGACAGGATTTCCGCCAGTATTACCAACTAAAGATGGAGCAGTAGTGTAAGGAATAGTGAAAGATTGTTGAGATATTGCAGTCATATACGGGTTGGCTTGCGCAAATACATCTCCACGAGACTGGTATGATTCACTAGGATGTCTAGAAGCGATCGCAGATAGCAATGACTGATTGGCTGGATAGAAAGCTAAAAAAAGAAAGAAAAATGAGAAAGGTACTAATAAATACACATACTAAAATGATAAATTCGAGTGTTTATTTTCGTGTTAAACGAAAGTGTTTTGTTAAAATTATAATGGACTAGATAATTCAACATTCTTATGATTTCAAAATTCCAGTTATGCACTTATTTGACAGAAATACGTACGCGCAATAAATTGTATGCAGAGTCTTTTCAGTCAATTTTATTTTGATATTGACATGATTCACCAGTTGCTATTGTTTTATTTTATTTTATAAATTTTCTTAGAAAACATTAATTTATATTGATTAAAAGTTACAGGAGGGTATGCTAACATATTTTTGAGAATACAGGTGGACAACTCAGAGAGATCATATGGACTATACTGAGAGAGAAAAATACAGCATTAAAATCGAATTAAACAAGTTTCATTAGACTGATAAGAGAGATAAGTAAAACATGCATATATATGCACCAGAAAGTCTAAAAACTAGTGGAAATTAGATTGACAACAGTAAGTTTTATTTTCAAGAAAACGGATAACTATTGACTGAATCTGATAGAATAAAGACATTCACATCGTAGTCAAACTTGAAACTATGTTATTTGACTCAAACAATAATTTTTTATTCAAGTGCTGGGTTGTAGGGATTTGATTGATTGGTTACAGGATTTCATCATGAGCTGACATTGGTTAGAGAACCACTGGAAAACCTGGGAGTACTGGACAGCCAACTGTTTCGTCCTAGTTTGGGACTCCTCATCAGTACGCACCCATCACAGGGGTTCGAACCCAGGACCTTCTGGTTACAAGGCGAGCTCGTAGACCATTGAACCACTGGGACCCGATCCAATGGTTCTTGAATTCTAACTTCTGCCAATTCACGACATAGCGCGACCCACTGAGGACTATTACAAACTGTCAAGCCTTTATATCAGGGCACCTGTCACATTGGATCTTAAAGATGTTTTTTTTAATATTCTATTCTGCCTTCTTAACTGCATACACACACATCTTAGGTAACCTTTCTTTAAAAAAATACTTATTACTGTATAGTCCCCTTCCAATTATCTAGACATCTTTTGAACTACATGTGGTGCTGATGAAAATGTCAAAGCCAGGATAGGAAAAGCGAAAAATACCTTGATTAATCTAAAAATCAGTCTAGGAATCTACTGCACTAAGCAAGAAGAACAAGGTTCCAATTTTAAACACTATAGTCAAGTCAGCTCTTCGATATGATTCAAAGACTTCACGCATCGCATCACCAAAAGCATCTACGACAGGCTTCAGACTTTTATCAACACCTGCTTCCGCTGGCTTCACACTGGAGATTAGATGGTCAAAAATGGTCAGCCAGCAGGGAACTCTGGCGACAAAACAACCAAAAACCTACTGTCCAGCAAATATGCCGAAAGAAATGGAGATGGACTGGACACATATGAGGAGACCGTTGGGTGATATCACTCACCAGGCTAGCCATCAAGTGGAAGCCGAACAAAAAACGAGTCAGGGGTCCAAGAATGGGATACAGGAGATTGCGTGGTGAGATGAGAGCTAATGGGCAACCGTGGAGCCAGCTAAAGAATACTGCAGAAAACAGGATGAAACAGAGATGTGTTGATGAAGCCGTATGTTCCATTCAGGACCTGAGGGAGTAATAATAATAGTTATTATTATTACTATACCCTACGAGTATGGCAGTTGAGAGATGGTATCGTGGCTAATCAAATAAGGACTTTTTTTAATGAACGGTTATTCTACAGATTCAAAAGCATCTGATTGTAAAAATTTTACACGTCAAACATCAAAATTCCAATTAAGTTTTTAAAAAGAAAGAGAGAATTTTAGCATTTTATTTTGTAGAAAAAGGAATGAATCGAAAAAATAAACAAGATCTGCACAGATAAGAAAATTGATTTCCTTAAAAACAGGATGAAAAGAAAAATCTTGTCGATCATCAATAATGCTGTGAAACATCTTTTTTCCTCCTTTAAAAGAAGCACTTGAAAATCAATCCAATTTTCACCTAAAGGATATTGAAAAACTTTAAGAACCATATAAATATCACACGTGACTCTCTTTATGGTCAGTTGATGAAAGTGAACATAAACATTCCATACTGTCCCTATTAAAGATAGTGAAATCAATATCTGTCCAATACATCTATCCCAAATAGACAGAACAACATGCTATATTTTAGCAGTAGGTGTCCAAAATGGTATTAGAAACGTTATAAAGGAAATATCAGCCAAAACACTAGTAATAAAACAAGTCAATGACTAGAAAACTATTTTGTGTACTATTGAAGTGAAAACAATCCACTATTAGAAGTCTTACAGAATACATAATGGAGTGATAGTGAGGATTGAAAACAATGTCATGAGATTAACGGCGTGTCTGTGAGACTCCGCTGTTGATCAGGGTTGAATTTTATTACAATTACGTGGTATTCACACAAGTAAAATGAGCTATAAGCTTTCACACTTGAAATTAATAGACCGCATTAATAAATGCGGTCTAAATAAGTACGTCAGTGGCTCAGCGGTAGATTGCTCGCCGACCACGCACGTGATCCGGGGTTCGATCCCCGGCGACGCATTCCTTTAGCTCGCTAAGACAGTGATAAGACTGGTAAAGAGGGTAGGTTGGAGACGGGGCTAGCAACTCCATCCTGTAAAAATAAACACAACTGCTACCGAAGCTTCAAATCTCTAACTTGAAGCCCTATGTTCCACTGGGAACGTGAAGGAATAAAAAAAATAAGTACGACACAATAATGGTGTTCTTATTGTAATATTACACGCTGCTATGCAACAAACAAGTTACCGTAGATTAGAAAATCCCACAGTTTATACAAATGAACTCTATCTTGTATGGAACACGCATAATTCCCAAGTTTGTTGGTCTCCAGTTATAGTTAGTCACCGGATAAATGATACTATTTTCTAACACTGCAGCTGTCAGTTACTACAGTCATTTATATAGAACTATTCCTAATCCTAAAGTTTCACATAGTCTTAACATAAATAAATGGTGCGCTAATTTATAAATAAAGACATAACAGATGCATGACGACTTCCTTGACACTATGCTGTATAGCGTTTTAAGTTTCATTTATAATAAGAAAGCCGATATCAATATTTCCTTAAAGATATAAAAAGTAGGAAGAAGTAACACTTTTTCGTACATCATTGACTGTATTCAGTCACACTCCCTACGAGTAATCATCTGTAACAACAGAAGACAAGGGCCGGCAACAGATCATTCTATTACGGAAATCAGCACGTATTTATATATATTTCATGTACATTATTATAGTTTATTCAGGAGGACAAACACAGTCTTCTGATTGGTTGTTTCTTGCTCAAGATGACTGGTTTCTCGGAAAGTTAAGCCATATATCTGCGAATCGTATTTGCCCACGTTAAGTCTGCTGTGATTGGTTGTTGAATCGGCCTTGTTCATATTTTCTCACGGCCAATATTAGTGACCTAGACATTGACGTAGATTAATGTCTACCAATTGGCTAGCAGCCTGCTCTAACCACAATCCTACGTAAGGAGTTCAAAAGAAATATTACATTTGCACAAGTGGACGACTTCAATGATATCCACTAAATAAAATATATGCAATCCTTTTTGTATACAACAAGTAACTATATTTTTGCTGTTACCACAATTTGTATTATAAGGTAACAAGGAGGGTAATTGATAGAACTTTTTTGCCGACAGAATATTTCGGATTTGGGTTTTACTCTCGATAGATTCACTACCAAGTACTGTTACTGCAAAAACATTCTATAAAATGTTTAGAGACTTTCTTTAAGCATAAATTGTCGAAATTCGAAGCAAAGTGTAGTGAGAGTTAGAATACATGGTAATGAATGAGCCACACTGAAGAAAATCTTGAGATTAAGATATGACCAAAATTCACTTACACTTTAGTGTTACTAATTCAACGAGTTCCATGATAATAAACTCCAATCAACACATCGAAAAATTTCGATACAGGTTCATGTATATTACATACACATAGAAGAAACTTTTCAATTTCCATCTAAATCCTATAATCTATGGTGTAGATCAATATATTACACATGTTCAAAAAAGGTAGAGATCTACACGAAACTGCTTTAATAAATAAACATAATAATGTACGTAAACAATAAAAACCAACCGAAGTTTAGAGGTCCCGGATAGGCAGCGTCATAACACGCCGGCGTCTGAATTTGAGATTCTGCAACAGGCCAACCACCTTCATGTATCAAAGTCCCTCCAGGCCCCCCACTTGCTCCACTGGGATTGGCACCACTTCCACTTGCGCCTCCACTACCACCAAACAGAGGAACATTTGCAGTGGGAGTAGACGAATATAACCCTTGCCCATAATCCGGTAAAGCTGGTTGTGGAATACTGGGGTCTTCAGATGGCATATAACTGATGTTAGTAGACAATCCATGAGCAGTTAAGGTGGACATATCAGCTGCAGTTGCATCGACAGGTGACAAGGTAGGATAGTAGTTAGTTGGGCTTAAATTGGCCGCTATAGCAGCAGCTTGAAATTGGAGTAAAGCTGCTTGAAAAAGAGATGACCCAAACGGATTTGAAACAGGCGAGAAGCCAACACCACCTGATGCATTTCCGTCCCATGCCTCAATACCACCGCCTGACACACCACGTCCAGGGGGTAATTGTAAATGCGAAGCCTGACATGGCGGAAAACGAACTGCTGGCATGATTGCAAAAGGTGATCCGGTCGGGTAAGCACTTGCAACAGGACCACGCACATGTGAGTAGGAAATTACAGGGTAAATGGCCGACTGAGGGTCTTCTGCTATTTTCGCTAGAACTAAATCGACAGCTGCACGACACTGATCAGGTTCACCTACAACCAAACAAAAATACAAAAGAAACTCGTTCACACTTGACGGAAAAACAAATATCGATCAACTGCTGGTGGTCTGTGTGAATTTTTGGGCTACTGAATTTCCACCCGAGACAATGCATCTTATTTTCTTTAGTTCTTGTTATAATCATTTTAGTTATATCCGTGGATCTCCAAATGTACTCGTGCACAATTTTTATTGATTTACAGCCTATCGTTGATCATTTCTGAGGGACCAAGGAAAAATATCGTAGTAGATTATTTTATTCTTCATATCTAACATCAATGCATCACTATTTACTGGAGATGGCTGTTTTACTTGAAACTCCTGGATAAAGAGTAAATATTATGCGACAAACTACGCTGAAAATTGTGCATATTGTGTAAACTTATTGTGCATAATAAAGCTATCATTATTACTATTATTATAGCGAAGTAAAATCAAAAACGGGAACTATTTACCAAAAGATGTAACTAAAAGACACTGATAAGACTAATGGAGACGGGTGGAAAACTAAATCATCTGAGTACACTTCATTGAACACCGCAATCAAAAAAAATTACCATCGCACACTAAAGGTGATGTAATGAATCTTCAGAATGATTGTAACAGTAATGATAACAAATAATCAATGCTCACCCGCAATAGTAATACATCGTTCCAATAAATTTATCTCAACAGACTTCTGTGATATTTGTATAAAAGCTCCAGTTCTGTCTTTTATCTCTCGAACATAACTACCCAGTTTTCCGATTACAAGACCAGCAGTGCAGTTAGGCACCAAAATCTTAACCTGTATATAAAACATTGACAAAAAGTCGCAGGTAAACAAATGAACTAATGAAAAGAAAGTCACTATCTTGTAATAAAAATCACAGAATCAGTTAAATATCTACGAAATAGTTAGGAGTAAAGCAGTTCTCGTAGCGGAAAATAATTAAAATTATCTGGTAGCACTTACAGGGGTAATATGTTTGTTTGATATAATCTGCCGCTATATTAATTAGAACTAGAACTGCAAGTTGCACACAAATCCAGATACTCACCACAAATAGGAATGTAATTGCGTTACTTCTCAAATAAAACAAATACAAGAAGATTCACCTTAGCTGAATATAGTGTATGAATTAACTGTGCAATAACTTGTGACTTCATGGAATTTTCATTTATTAATCCTTGTTTTTTCACTTTTATATGAACCGAAAGATCCAAAAGATGGTGCAGTTAGAGAAAACTATCTAGTATGAATACACATCATAAGTAATCGTCGCATTTAAATGGGTGTGAATATACAATGTTTCCTTTTTCTACTCCGATGAATTGATGGAAAAAGTTTTTTTTTTCTCTAAATGATGAAATGTAGAAAGAATAACTTTAAAGACTGTTTTCAGCGTCAGAATGAGATTGTGAATGCGGATGTAGAACAGTCCTAAAACATGAAACAATTGTCCACTGATCCTCGACTTTTCTCATTCAATTAGTTGGTTGTGACAATAATCGAATTTCCCCAAACCCAATAGCCTAATAAGTCAGTTGGTATTTCGACACTTTAATACAGTATAAAAGTAATTACTTTCAAAAAGTCGGTTGTATCTGGCAAAGGTCACTTACAGCTTATTCAGTTGATCAGCACACAACAGGAATTGGTTGGAATATGTTACCTTGCAGTGAAGACAAAACACAGCACAAGTCCCTGATCGCTGAAAGTTGAATTAACATGCATACTCTCAATCATCACTTCCCTGTGTATGTCATTCACTTTATTCTTCTACCTAAATTAAGACATTATTCTTCTGGTAGCTTACAGAAAGTTAGGGTAATATCAGGGTTTTAGGAAGTACATACACCATGAAAGTAAGCCCAAAGACTTCTTTGAAGTCAACAGTAAAAAGTAGTACGTAAATACAGTAAATTGGTGAGTATACAGTGGCATTACGAAAAATCACCACAGCTTCAACGACATGACTTACACAAAACTGGAGAAACATTTCCGATAAAGATGGAGAATCTGAGGTTTTAAGGAAAGCAGATAACAAGGCATAAATGAGAAAAAAGAAACAAGCATGGGGAATATTAAGGAATGACTTAGTATCACTACACAATAGTTAAATTGGCAACAACTCAAATTAACACACCAAACTAAAAGATGGTGAAAGATGATATGAAACAAAACGACCAGTTTCTATTTATATCAAAGAGAAAATAAGTGAAAATTACCTGCTTATGTCTTCCCCATGGTAAACGATTTCCTGAGGATTCCAAACCATGAGTCCACGTAGACCCTCTATTCAAATGTGTTACACCATGGCCAGAGTCATCCGGAGCAGTGGAACTTGGGGCAATACTTTCAGAATGCGAAGCTGGCGCTGTGTTAGTCGTAACACATGACACAACCGTTCCAGGAGTATCAGAACACTCTGGTTTTTCTAACACGCAATCCATTATGTAATTGTGCATCCGAGTTACACCTTCTAAAGTACCTTGAATGAGACAAACTCTTTCTTCTGTGCCTAAAAGTGGAATAAATAATAATGCAACATAGCGAATTCACAGGGTGTTACTAACTCTGAGAAAACAAATACGATACGTTCCTCTCTAACTACCACTGCAACAAATAATGTTATTTTAACCTAGTAAAGTTTGAGTGCTTAAAAGAGATTTTTAAAAGTACTCAATTGAATGACGCTTTCAGCATGCATCAATACGTGTTTAGAAAACTATAAGATGTTCTATTCAGGTTGTTCAGAAAGAAAACTTGGTAGCTGCAATATCACTACACTTGATGAATTGAGGATGGAATAAACAAAAAGTTACTAGAGAAAGCTCTGAAAACTATGCAACGTTTTTTGCCAGATGAAACTAATTTAAGAATCACTAGTCATAAATGTTAGCATACACGTTACAACATCTAAACACAGAAAAATGAAAGCATTTTTCAGAAACTAAAAATACTTGCAACCTTTAGAAACATTTTTAGCATTTAAGCGACCACACCTGTGAGAATTGCATTTGCTACAAGACCACAGACTAATGGTACTGTCCACCACATCATAGTATCCTAGGTTTGAATTGTGTAGGCTATCACGTCGCAGTGATCTACCTCGGACAGCGAGGAATGACACTGATTGGTGGTTCGCTTCTGGCTACTGGATGAAAATTATGGGACTATACTAAGAATTAAAAACCCGCCAACAGTGTTAACATCACACCAAGTATTATATACTTATAAATACACAGTTATGAAGTCTTGCTTGAAGTCACCCCATATAAATGAACTTAGTGGGGTCATTGAATTAAAATGGTTTTCATTACCCGGTCATACTAATCAGCACTACGGCTGTTCACAGTAGGCTTACTCAAAGAAACGAAAGTGTGACATACACAACAGTGGTTGCCCACGTTGCTTCATTGCCACATATTACAACCTGGATAAAACTAAAGCGAGTCGCGCATTTCTTAATACGATAACTAGAATCAGCGACTTCAGTAGGATCAATTATAAACAGGAACGTTGGTGTCATCGATCACTAAATCTGTTTATAGCACGAGTCTACAGTTAAAACTCCATCAAATGTAATGTAATGTTGAATACGGAATTTGTTATATGACGCCATGTGCTCGCTCAATGCTTTGAATTGATTTCTACAATTATGCTAACTACCGAACAAATGCTCACCTATTGGCTTTGCTGGACCAGCTGATGAAAAATCGACGATTTTTATGCAGTCACAAAAGTAGTTCCTCATAGTGTGATGAGGCTTACTGAGCCAGTTAGCCAATAAAAAACTAGATGATACACGATTAGTGTTAACGACTGGCAAAGAAGTGGTAATGAACTTAAAAATTAATTCGGTTTAGGAATTAAAACAAGTCTGATGCACTAGCTAAAGGAGAAAAGCATAATACACTGTGCAAAACAATATTAAGTGGATAAATACATTGCAAGTTTACACACTAAAGTGAGGAATAACAGCACATAATCTAAAGCCAAAATATAAACAAGTGAACAGTGACAAGCTATTTTTGACTTTTGGTCCCCATCAATATTAAAGTAGGCGATTAGGGAGAAATAATCGACAGGAATAACCGAAAATCATTACATTAAGGTGTATGAAAACATGTCGGCATCTGCAAGCAAAGTAACTACCATATTGTACGTTGTTAGAAAGAGTTAACTTGTTGTAAAAACTAAGTGCAACTATGTGTGGCATGTGAACAAACAGCTGCATTGTGCAACCCAAATTTATGCATTATTAGTCACACAGACCGCATTTAACCACTAAAATCTCACCAAGCTTCAGCGGATATAATGAAGTTGGAGAGATAACCTGGAAACTACCAGTAATCCAGACAGTAGGACCTTACCGAGTTTAACTGTAAAATGTTCCCTAAAAAGGTTTAGACAATCCGTTTACAATTAAGAAGTTTATATATGGTATTCCTAACTGCCTTAAGTGTCGTTTGACTTCAGAAAGCAAATAAACGGTTTACTTTTAGGCAAAAGCCCAGAGCGACTCACCAGGATACAGATCATTTACTTTGGACAGCTTTATCCTTGCACCTGTTTCTTTTTGAATCTTCGCAATCGATTCTCCTCCTTTTCCAATAATTGCACCAACCGCTATAGATGGCACTAATATCTTTAGGTGAATAATTTCTGTAGTACAAATTGTTCACGAAACAACTAAAAATATACTACCTTGTCTCCGTCTTGAGCATAGTGAAAGCCCCTTTACTTCCTTTTCCGACTTCTCAGGTGTTTCTCCCATTCTTCTTTGTCCAATAAATGTTGGGACAATCAAAAACAAACGAACCGAAAAACGGCAAAACCTTGTGCAAACATATGGACTCTGTTATCAGACAAGTTTCATTTGCTTCAACACTCTAACGTACAACAGCTGACAGTTAGGCCGTACAACTTCAATCGATGAAGCACCCATTCTCACTTGGTTCGTTAAAACATGTTAAATACAACATTGTACGCGGCAGTGAACATTTCCAAATTATGGTTTTTACACATTCTGATATGATTGAAGATTTTTTTGTATTTTAAAAATTCAAATATTCAGAACTTCCATGTATATCTTGGTTTCGATCTACTACATATTCCTAGCTTTCATGCGCTCTAAACAACCTTATCACACATTGCCCTAAGTCACAAGAGATGCTGTGTTTCCAGTGAACTGTCAATTTTTACTAAAAGTAATAAAAAAGATGATTAACTGATGACAACAGAGCATTTATATTTCAGAATTAGGGCAGCCTAACCACAAACAATTTACTGCTAGACCTGACAGCATTTCAGGAGCATATTCAGTCACTTCATTTTGTTATCAGTGTCTACCAGTCGTGGGAATCGCATATTAGTGCATAGCAGTTTGGTTTATTAAATGTTTGGAAACACCGTAGACGTTCTAGAGTTAGTGAGACCGAGTATGACCCCATATTTTTCTCATTAATGATTTTTCATTGGCATTTTTCCTGTTTAGAGCAAAACAACCTCTATGTCTTAGATAAGCTACTGCCAAAGATAGTATCAGGCATAACAATACACAGCGTATATAGAATCGGCAAAAAGCTTGGCCCTGCAGTAAATCAGCCTGTACACCTCTAAGTCGTACTAAACTCCAAAGAAGGGAGAGATGCCATTCTAAGCAACTCTCAAATTCCTAAAGGATCAGGCATATACGTGCCGACTAATGTCTGACACACCATGCCAAAAGACGGTCTGAGGCCCAGAATAAAGCTAACGACGCCGAAACGGCGAAAAAGACCTTAAGATGAAGATTTGTCGGGTTGTCAGAGTTCGAAGTTTGATGACCCCGAAACCTCTGTGGGTAAACCACGGTTGCACTAAACTGAACGGATGGTTTGCTACACAAACACCAGCAGCCTATTGAACAAATGAACCGAGCTGGGTAATATGTTAGATTCCTGAAATCGAGATGTAATTATCATCACAGGGACATGGCCCACAGTCGATATCGCTGATAACGAAGTTAACCTGCCAAACTTCTAAGTGCATAGGGTGGGCAGACTAAGTCGCAAAAGAGGTGGAGTAGTCATCTTCCTCAAAAAATGCCTAACCGTGCGTGGCATAGACGCACTCGCTCGCGAAAGTGAGTCGTGCCAACTTCTACGCTGCAGACTTAATTCCATGGGCCAGGATATGGACCCCATTGTTGTATACCGCAGTCCCGACTGCAGTGCAGAGGACTTCCTAATTGAGAAGCTAGGCTTCTGGACATCGAAATGTCGAAGTATCGTAGTCGGCGACTTCGATGCCCCAACAGTTGACTGGAAAAGCCTTACAACGCCATCTTCAGACAACTCATTTGACCATAAACTGTTGGAATCTAGCGCTTCGCCAGCATTATTCCGAACATGTCATTAAGCCCACGCGCTGACTCACAGCACTTCTCTTCAACTCTGGACCTGGTGTTCTCTAATGGTGAGGATGTGGATCTCATACAACACTTTTCTACTTTAGGAAGAAGTGGTAACTCTCTGCCCACTTGCAAGATCCCAGCAGCAGCATCGTGGACCGAAACCCCAGCTCACCCAAACGTTCGGAAGCTGATATATATGCGATCGTCTCGGCAGCCAACTCAGTGAACTGGTACATCAACTCAGAGCCCCAAGCAGGAGCCAAATGTCACCGATTTGGACAGCTTTGCGCCCAAGTAACTGAACCTTTGATCCCTTGGTCTGTCTTAAATGGGTCGAAAACATTCCCCCTTTAGATAAACCAAGAGATTAGTAGGTCACTCAGGCACAAACACAAATGTTGGAACCTGTTTACCACACTTGAGACTTGACATTACACAACACTGATGGGAATAAAGCTATTGCAGAAATCCGCCAATCAAGGATGAAGTTCGAAGCACATTTTTTTGATTTTTGATTTACAGCTTGATTCCACACTGTATTTTTGGTACAAGTATGGAATTTTCAGCATGGATATCGGTAGCCCAAATTTTGCAGCCGACCATAGATATCAGGTGTGCGCCGGCGTGGGCTCGAACCCCGGACCATGTGCATGGTCGGCGAGAGTCCTAACCACTGTGCCACCGACGCACACATCGGGCTCAAGCCAGACTATTAACGTTGATAAAATCGAAGAAGGTCGAGAAAGGCAGAAGCAATAGCAGACTACTTCTTCCAAGACTTTACACAGGAGTCGTTACTCCCCATATGGTCAACTAGGTCTGCATCAGAGGAACGCGGGATAGGTTCCGTTAACGTCAACCAATTCATCGTGTTCAATTGCTTGTTGAAACTAGAGGAAAGGAAATCTATGGGTCCTGAAAGTTTTCATCCAAGGCTTCCTATGGGGCTATCAGCTCACATAGCCGGCCCATTGACCACGATCTTCACGCTATATCTCATAAATGGAGTATTACCGCGTGACTCGAAAGACGCTATAGTAACCCACATCCACAGAGGACCATCAAGACAAAGCCTTTCTAACTACATATCTTTTAGTTCCGCCGGCACTTTAATCAAGATACTGGAAAAAATCATCAAGAAAATTATCATATCATTTCTCGAAAACAACAATTTGTTATCCAGAGCACAGTATGGCTCCTCAAGAAACCTCTCATGCCTGTTGAATCTTCTCACTGAAGGAGAAAGCTGTGTCGAATCAAGGGACATCAGAATACCCGTCGACGTCGTCTTCATGGACTTCAGCGAAGCCTTCTGCAGAGTTCCTAGCAAGGGACTACTCACGAAGTTGGACATTCTTGGTATCAAAGGCAGCTCACTAAACTGGCTCCGGGAATTCCATATAGATAAGAGGCAGAGGGTTAGGATCAGCTCAAAACTCTCCCCCTGGACAGCAGTGCGTAGCGCAGTGCCACAAGGAACGGCACTCGGACCTCTCCTATCTATTCTGCATGTAAATGAGTTATCTCTGCTCATCGATTCCCCTATGGTTTTATACACAGATGACTTAAAATTTTGGAGAGAGCTGAAGGGCAACAGTGACACGTCCACGTTGCAGGAGGACCTCAACAAATTGTCAGAGTGGTCCATATAATGGATGCTCCCGATAAATGTTGCAAAATGTGCAACCATGCGCATTGGACAAGCAAGCATGAGCTTCTACGAACTAGAGGGAATAACACTACCATCAGTTCATACTCACTTGGACTCAGGTGTCGTAGTTAGCCACGACTTGAAAAACTACAGCACGCTGTCGCGCGGTGGCTGCACGTAGTTTCAGATCCTTATGGGCAGTCCGCAGACCCTTTACTAGAATCGCCAGAGGTATGTTCACTTACTTGTATACATCTCTGGCGAGGTCAACACTAGAAAACTATCCGGGCAGCCAGTCCTTGTCTTATAAGGGGACTCACATTCTAGAAAGGGTCCAAAGGAAGGCAACATGTATGATTCTCTGCATGGCTAAATTATCACACGGGGAGAGGCTAGACGCTTTATATCTCTTCTCCCTGTTATACCGTAGGCCGAGAGGAGAAGCGGTGCCTGCAACCTCAATCGTTTCACTCAGAAAAGGTTTGGACAAGCACAGAAATTTGCTAGAAATGTATTAACACAGCCCCTAAGCCCTCTATCCTTAACCAACAAATCTAAATTTGAATCTGAAAGAACTTCCAGATCGACCTATCAGATATCATCTGCCCCTGTAAAACTTGTCACACCTGTTGATTAATGTAAGGTGTTTTTGAAAAGTGTTCTCTTAAGTAAGCCCAAAACTATACAGATGCTCAAATGAAGAATCTGGTTTTTACTTCAATATCAATCACGCAATGGTCATTGGAAACTATCAATTAAAGGAGTTTAAGGGATTCCTTCACTTTTCCTATTTTAACTTTAGATAGAAATTTGGGACGAATTTGCATGACCATTACTCAACAAGTAATTTCATGACTATAACTACTGGTAATACGATAAACGAGTACACTTGCACCCCCTCAGCCAGTTATCTGTCGGGTTTGATGAGCAAGCTAACAACTCTGAGCCACAGATTACAACAGTGATAAACTTATAAGTAACCACGGATTTTAATAAGTGGGAACGTATTTTTGTTTATAATACTCAGGCCTTACTCGGAAGTCGTTGGTTAAACGTATCTCGCATGATAGGTGGCTGTTAACTAAAGGCGAAAGTACACTTACAAAATTCGCCTAACCTATGGCACGTAAGGTAGAAACATATAGATTCGATTTCTTCCTTAGAAAATTCGGAACTATCGGACGTGCATCGCATCATTTGTTTGTCTAATCTATGTTCTCCGCACCACTGGGTAAAGCTGCAGATTATCTTATCTGGGCTTAAATCCACTCTGGGAGTGGAAACCATATGACCAGCATCTGCCCTCCCCCTTTGTCAGAGACTCTAAAAAATATTCATGAGGACCGATAGCTACCAAAAGGCTTCATACCCGTTGAACTCCAAATGGTCACTAAGGTCCTTCATGTGACTCTTCTAGACTGCCAGTCTAAAGAATGCTGGTTTTTTCAGCAAGTGTCTTGACAAACGTCAGTGACAGAAAACCAGTGAATGTTGATACGTTCTGAAGAAGCTCCTTAACATAAACTTTTATTCCCCTTGTTCTGTTCAGGAAATTCCATGAACATCAAATTTAACTCAGCTGCTTGCGAACTGCTAAGTGCGTATGTTTCTCTCGGGAGTTTTCTACACTTCACCTATAGTCTCAGTTCCATGATGTTCAACGATCATAAATTACAGACCCACGCCTTTCGAGCAACTAGGGGCAAATATTCTTAGTATGCGAAACGTT